GAGGAGGAGGAGGAGGAGGAGGAGGAGGAGGAGGAGGAGGAGGAGAAGGAGGAGAAGGGGGTGTTCCTTCTCTCTCATTTCTTGGTTTTGTTTATCAGCCGATCTGTTTGCTGGATTTGGGCTCGGAATGACCCACCTGTAAAGTGCTTTTCCTTCCTCCTCGCCTTGAACTCTGCAGGGGGCTTGGCTTGGAGGGGGCGAGGGAGGGAAAGAGAGAAGGGGGGAACACAAAAAACTTCTTTCTTTCTCTCTCCGTTTATCTTCAGTCCGACATTGTCACCTCCTCTTTGAGGGGTTAGAAGAAGCTGAGATCTCCCGACAGAGCTGGAAATGGTGATGAATCTTTTTTAATCAAAGGACAGTTTCTTTTGTATGTACGTTTCGCTTCTCTTTCTCCTTTTCTTTTTCTTTCTTTCCTTCTCTGAGGGTTAATAACCATTTCATTGATGGGGCAGACTTCTTTCGCTTCTTTCTCCCTGACGTTTCTTTCTTTTTAATATGTGTGTGTGTGTTAAATGTGTACATTTTTAAAGAGATAAACTCATTTGTAAAATATCCGAAGAAACTGCGCCCCTTTTAAACTTTACGGATGCCTTTCTTTAAAGCCTTATGTAATCATAATTTGAAAGAATTTGATAACAGTACAGCAGGTTGAAATTTAAGTGCAGTGGCTGAGTTGGGAATTTGATCTGATTATTCCATAAAGAAAGAAAGAAAAGTTTTTTGGGGGGTAGGGAGGGTGGTGGTGAAGAAGGGGAGGGGAGAGAGAAGGGAAGTGGTTTTGGAGACAAGAAGTGAAGCTGCCTGTTTTCCAGTAAGTAATGGAGAAATTCCAGGAGCCAGGGCTAAATATACTTGGCGATCAATACAGAAATGGCTCATTGTGAATAATTTAGCTGCTGGTGCAGTGAGAGTTTTGAAACTAAAGGCAAAAAGGACCAGGGCCAAAGGGTAAAAAAAAAAAAAAAAAAAAAAAAGTAAAAATCTCCTCAGGACGTGTCAATTCTTTAAACTTTTTCCTTCAAAGAAAGCAGTTAACTTATTGATCTTTTCATTATGTGAAATCAAAGCTAGGGGGTGTCATCTCATACAACTTATTTTTGTTTCTGAGAATTAAGTTCTTGTTTTGCGTCATTGGTGCATGAGAATAATTCCCCAAACTTTAAAAAAGTGGTTCCCTTCCCAACAGCAAAAAGTTTATGAAATTTTCAAAATCAGACTGTGTTAAATAAGCTTGGCATTTGTATCCAACTGTGGTCTGGCAGGAAATTAAGGTTACATTGAACAGGTGCTTAAACAGAACTTGGGGTAGGCTAACGTGTCAATGTAAGTTCGGGAGTTGGGTCACTGCTGCAGAAATCTTAGAGACACACTGGGGCACTACATTTTTTGTTTTGTTTTGTTTTCCTATGTTTATTTTTCCTCCCCCCTCCCTATTAGAACATGATGAACCAACTTGCAACAATTGTGAATAGAGCTATCTGTATACTAGGGAAGTCCTCAAATGCTGTGCGATTGTGGGCAGGAGGGAATGGTAAAATACTTAAATCCCAGTTAAAGCTGGCCCATTTGAGATATAACCCATTTTTTTTTTCTTTCAACCAAGCAAATTCTGATTAAGGGAGTCATTCCTTTCTTGCTACAGCCCATCTCACAGCACACTTATCTTTCCTATCCTATCTCCAGCAGGAATCAGATCATTTGCAGAAAGAGTTCAGTGACTTGCAAATGAGCACATACAGTACGCTGTAGTATGTTTCTTGGGCACAGGTTGCAGCAGCAGCAACATGGGCTAACTGAAGCTTCAAATAAGTTAAGCATTTAATGGCAGAACTGAAAGGAATCATTGTGTTAAGGGTATATAATCTTTTGTATTGCAGCACTGCACTTTGACTATGGAAACAGAGGCTATTGATGGCTATATAACGTGTAAGTATTCACTTTCATTAATTTTTTTTATTGGCTATTCAATTATGCTTTCGTGTTACCTGTATTTGAACTTCTCCGTTGTACGTTTTTATCACAAATTTTATACTCTTATTTTCTGTCTGTTTGCAGTTTCACCTTTAAGTTTGTTTGAGAAAATAAAGCACACAAGTGAAATAAAAAGGAAATGTAGAAATAGACTTACTATATTAAGGATAACATGTAAATCAGTAGCCTAGCAGGTTTACACTTTCCTACTTGATTACTTTACCTAAGTTTAGAATAGGTCAGATTACATATATGTCTACTAATATGGCGTGAACTAAATATTTACTACTCTGCAACCCAATTTTGGAGACGTAGAGTGTGAAAGAGAATTAGCTTCCTCAAGTTGACATGTTTTTAGCCAATTCTCCTTTCACATGTCCAACTCTCTGATAGCCAGCATTTTGGAAAACGCTCATTATGAATACTGTATGCTTAATGCATTAGATGTTAAAAGAAGCTTGTTTTTCGAATAAGGGTACTTTAGAAATCATCTACTCTAAGTCCCCTCATTTTACAGTTAAGATTATTGTGATAATGAAGTTTTGTAATTTTTAAAATTTTTTATTGTGGGCCAGTTGTGGTTTTTCATCATTTCATTCGTTTACTATGTATTTCTAAATGATATTTCCTTAGAGTTTCTTTTAAGGGAAAAATATTTTACATTAAAATTTCAAGGCTATTCATGCCACTGCATGTATGAAACAAAGTTGCTGATTCGTTTTTATGTGACAGTGAACAGAGACCAAAATATTTTATTTTGTGAAAGCAGGTGACAATGAGCTTTCACCTGAAAGGGAGCACTCTAATATGGCAATTGACCTCACCTCAAGCACACCCAATGGACAGCATGCCTCACCAAGTCACATGACAAGCAGTAAGTCTTCATTTTATGATTTTTCTTTTCTATTTCTCTAGGGACAGACTTGAATTTGTTAGGTCTGTGGGGTCCTCTCACATCGTGGTGTAGCTGCAGCTATAGATTTTGCTAAAGAAAGCACAACAGAGATTTATCCCTGTTAATTCTAGTGTCATAAAACATGAGCCTGCTCAGTAGTCTGAACTATCCCAAGGTGGCATTTGGGAGCTGGTGCTTACCTGTATCAGGTAAGAAATGTTAGGCTTTGCGGGTTATTGTTTTGACTTTGCCAGGTTTATGACTAGAGTTGTTGTTGTTGGGTAGGAAAAAAAAAAAAGATGGAATCACGTCATTTCCAAAGGACTCTTCACAGTAAAAAAAAACAAAAAAGAAATAATTTTATATGGCCTTGGTACAAAGCTAATCCATTAATGGGAGAATTGCAATGTTGCTTTTTTTTTTTTTTTTTTTTTTTTTTAACATGTGAAAGTTTCTCCTCCAAAGCGCTGGAAGTGAAGTGTAATTGAAAATTTGTGGAACTCATTTACATCCATTTCTCTTAACAAAGTGAAAGCATTTTGTTTTAGACTGTCTAGGGAAGAACTGAGAAAATTTGGAAGGATGTTTTAAACTTAGAAGAATAGGCAGTTTTGGCTGCTATTTTTGATGAAGAGTCATTCATTGATGTAGTAGACATTGTTTTGTGTAGTAAAAGAGCAACTTACATGCTGTCAGCGACAGAAGACAAACTAAGAATATGGTTTGTTTTACTTAAAAAGTTTTATCAGTTTAATTATCAGG